CGCGAGGTTCCCGAGGCCGAATATAAGGCCTCGGCAAAATACAATCCAAAGACTGAAGATATTCCAACTCATCATGGCTCCGTAATTGTGACTGCTGTAAGATGATCCGACCGCGTGCTGCCATATTACTTGTTACTTAATCCGATTTTAAATGCATGTAGAACAAACCCGGTCAACAAAAGAAGGGAAAAGTCAAGAAGCTTGATATTGTAAGTACAATGTTAGAATTGATATCCAGCGTAACACTAAGTCAACTTTGGTGTCTTATTAGGATGAGCATCTGATGCCCCTGGACGAAGTTGTCGCGCTCCACAAAACCGAAATTGACCCCCACAAACCTGGTAGTTCTGTTGGTTTGAGAGCTGGTGTAGCCAGCGATCGTTTGAACGTCTACGGCCCCAATATTCTCACTCCACCCAAGAAAAAACACTGGGTTTTGAGGTTTTTGGAATGTCTGTTGAACCTGTTTAATATTCTATTGCTTCTTGCTGGCTTTGGAACATATGTTCTCTTTGTAATGGACCCTTTGAACAACTTTCAAAATGTAAGAATTCATATTTTGTCGAATGAATATCACATTCTAATCCATTAAAATAAATAGTCCTACATTGGCGCCATCTTGATCGGAGTCGCCTTTGTCAACGGATTTATCGAATTCTACCAATTGCAAAAAAGTGCAGCTGTCCTTGAATCATTCATGGTAATAATCACAAGCTCAAACATTCCAATTATGCTTAACGTCACTGAAACAAACAAATAGAACATGGTCCCCGCAAAATGCAATGTCATTCGTCACGGCTTATCTCGTCAAATTCCAGCTGCAGAGTTGGTCCCTGGTGACGTAGTCTTTGTTCGAATGGGTGATAAGATCCCAGCAGACATTCTCGTTTTCCACAGCTCTGACTTGAAAGTGGATAACTCGTCGCTCACTGGTGAATCTGAACCCCAAGAACGGATTGTGTCTAATAATCAAAAGAATCCTTTGGAAGCGACTAACCTTTGTTTTAACGGAACCCTTGCTGTTGCTGGTATGTTGATGTGCGTAGAACTTTTTGTTTTATCGAGATGTTAAGGCTTTTCTCTCTCTTCTTCCTTTCCTTGTTTTTGGAATACAGGTGAAGCATACGGGATTGTTATTCGAACTGGCGATAGTACTGTATTAGGTCAGATTGCTGGTTTAACCACCTCTGAAGTCAAACGAGAATCTCCTCTTACTCATGAAATCGAACGTTTCTGCAAGTATGTAGACTTTCCAAATGTATATGGTCCGTATGACTAAATCATCTTTACGTACATTTTCAGGATTATCTCTTTCTTTGCATTCACAACAGCTGTCGTTTTCGTATGTATCAGTAACAGATATGCATTGTTCTCTTAAAGCTTATTACATTTCCTGTTTGCATAGTTCTTTATCTCTCTCCTTCGTTCCGGAAACTTGAACACCTCCCTGTCCTTTGCTATTGGTATCCTTGTCGCCTGGGTTCCTCAAGGTCTTCCTGCTACTGTTACTATGCTGTTGACTATTGCGGCAAAACGAATGGCCACGATGCAAGTTCTTGTTAAAGACTTGCAGGGAGTTGATTCGCTTGGTGCTATCACTATGCTTTGTACGGATAAGACTGGAACTCTTACTAGGGTAAGATTGGTTTGAGATGTAAGATCAAGAAATCCGTTTAACAATTTTTTCTACAATTGCATAGAATCAAATGACGGTTACCAATCTTTGGGTCAACGGGACGATGTATAATGTTAACAAGCCTGAGGACGACGAAGAAGAATTTTCAGACACTGTGCATGGCGTGATGGATATTATTTACATTAGTGCTCTCTGTACACGCGCTGTGAGTTTCCTTCAATTCATTTCATTATCAAATAAACTAACTTTTACCTTTATCTCCAGAAATTCGATCGTTATGATATTCCCATCGATAGAAGGTACCTAATCATAAATAACTTCCACACGCCTTTCTAAATTTAATTAACAGAGAGATTATCGGGGACGCAACTGAATCAGGACTGTTAAGATTTGCTGGAAAGAAATTATCCAACATCGATAAGGTTGGTTATATATACTTCTTCCTACATGTTAACGTTACTTATAAACACTTTCTAAACAAATAACTAGATCAACGACGAGTTCCCAAAAGTCTTTGAAATCCCGTTCAACAGTGACACCAAAACCCACATGTCAATCAACAAAAAAGCACATCAGGATGGAAAGTTAACTTTGTATCTTAAAGGAGCTCCTGAACGTGTTCTTCGATTATGTTCGACCATATTGTTTAAAGGAGAAGTTGTACCGCTTACTCAAGAACATAAGAATAACTTTACAACTTCTTATGAAACAATGGCTGGAAAGGGACATCGTGTACTTGCTTTTGCTCAGTTACTTCTTCCTGGTGATAAATTTAATGAGGAACATGTTTTTGTTAAGGATGAAGTTTCAAAGTTTAATCTTTATGAGGTATACACAGATTTGGTGGTTTTTCTTTCTGTATCAATCTAACAAATGAAAAACTTCTATAGATGGGACTTTGCTTTTTAGGTCTCACAAGTTTGGAAGACCCACCCAAACACGGAGTCCGTGAAGCAGTTGGTCATCTCCGCACCGCAGGAATTAAAGTAGTAATGGTAACTGGAGATCACCCCTTAACAGCGGAGGCAATCGGCCGCAAAATAAACCTCGTACTAGGCGACACCAAAGAACGCATCGCAAAACGAACTGGACGAAACATTCTTGACATTGCTGAAGCTGAGGCATCGGCAATTGTAATCCACGGTGAACAAATTGTGGATTTAACTGAAGAAGATTGGGATAATATCTTTTCCAAGGATGAGATTATCTTTGCGAGGACTAGTCCTAAGAATAAATTGGATATTGTGAAACGGGCTCAGGCTTTGGGTCATATTGTTGGAGTTACTGGTGATGGTGTTAATGATTCTCCTGCGTTGAAGAAATCGGATTTGGGTATCGCTATGAATCAGTCCGGTTCTGATGTTTCTAAAGAAGGTATTGTCTATTTACTTTGATTTATTTTGATATTGGTAAGCTGATATGAGCACCTTTTCTTTGATGGTAGCTGCCGCCATGATTCTGTTGGATGACAATTTTGCTTCTACCGTTCGGGGTATCACTGAAGGTAATTTATGCAAGGCTTCTATATCAAATTCATAGGCTAATTTCTCATATATTAGGACGTCTGATCTTTGTCAACTTGAAGAAGAGTATCCAATATGCGGTAAGACTAGTGAAGAATTTTAAACTCATGCTCAAAAAAAATCTAACAACATCAAATACGAAAATTAATAGGTCACTCACATTATCCCAGAAGTCGTTCCATACCTTTTATTCGTCGTCGTACCAATCCCATTAGCATTAACCGCAATCCAAATCCTCGTAATCGATCTTGGCTTTGAACTATTCGCTGCTCTCTCCTTCGCTTGGGAACCTCCGGAGACCAGCGAAGGTCTAATGAAAATGGCCCCCCGAAAACCAGTAACCGAAGAATCAATCCAAAAAATCCGTCGCAATTTCCTCCACAAGCAACAAGCCGGTTTATTACCACCTGAACCTGACGAGGAACTCGAATCCGAAGAAGAATGGAAAGTACCGTCACGATGGAGAAGATATATGCATGAATTAAAAATGATGGGATATAAACAATACTGGGTTGATTTATTTTTTAATCAGGAAGGTGAAGTACTTGTCGATAGTGAGGTTTTGTCTTGGAGTTATCTTGAAGCTGGTGGTATTGAATGTTTTGGTTCCCTTGTCACTTTCTTTACGGTTTTGTATTGGAGTTTTGGTATTGATATGAGTACCGCTGTTCAAGCTCAAATTGATGGTGGTTACTTTATGCCTCATTCACCTAACTTGACGTTATCAAATGGAGACCAATTGGTATGTAGTGCATTTCAATTTCTTTCTTTATGATTTTTAGTTCAAGGTTTTTTTTGTTTGAATTTACGAAACTTTGTTCTACACTTATAGACTGGTGATCTTCAATGGGAAGCGTTAAAACAGGCTCAGTCATCGTTCTACCTGTCCGTCTTGGTTATTCAAATGTGGAACTTGTTCTGTTGTAAGGCTCGTCTTCGTCTTCCTTGGGGATGGTTCATGTTCCAGTAAGTTGTTGAAAGCATTACAACCGAGCGGTTATAATTTCTCATATGATTTTAAATAGAAACACCAACACCTGGTACTCAGTCTTGGCCGGTGCCTTCTTCGGAGCCTTGATTGTTTACACTCCATTCATGAATGGTAATCATTTGACTTGCAAGCTCAAACTGGAGATGGGAAATTGGAACTAATTTTTGTATAACACTTGCTTAGCTTTATTCGGTACTTCAATGTACCTTAACCCCGGATATTTGAGTATCCCCATGGGCTTTGGATTCTTGTTGTTACTTTACAGCACCGTTAGAAGATTGTTCTTGCGCAGATTCAGTCCATACACTATGAATAAGGACGTTCTTGGTTTGCAAATGTACCCCACGCGTTGGTCGTTGGTGAGTTTATTCAATCGGACTTCGCAAAATTAGATCGGCTAACTGATTATCATGAAACAACATAGACCAACATTCAAGTTTAAAGAACTCGGTTATTTGCTTTTATTGCAGTGTATCATATCAATATTTTGCTTGATCGTTGTTTAATAACTTTGTGTTGTGTTCGTTGGGACTATGTTCACCTTGTCATAACACGTCCTCAAGACAGGAAGTCAAATAAGCAAGGCTGCCAGTATTAAAGAAAGTTTTGATCTTTCTTCTTTCTTTTCCTTTTTCCATATCGAGAAATAATAAGTTGGAATATTTTCTGGGAATCTGAGTAAAGAGGCAGTTCAATGTTGAAGGAGCGAAGTGATTTTGTTGATGTTTTCCTCTTGTCAACGAATTTTCTCTCTTCATTTCTATTTCTTTGGGTGACTTCTGCCCATGTGGTCAGCTCCTTCAATGCCACTGCATGGACCTGATCACAAAGTCGCCCTTTCCCCACATCTTCCAAGATGGTCTAGTGGTTATGATTCCGCCCTCTCACGGCGGCTGCCGGGGTTCGATTCCCCGTTTGGGAGAATAATGAATTTGTTGACCCAGTCTTCGCTCTGTTTTGCTGGGTCTCGTCACCATTGGTGGAGGACAACTTGATCAGCCAGTGAACGATGACCTGCCAACCCCAAAAATTTTTTCCAAGTTTTGTTACCTTGTCAACCGAACCAACCCGTCGTCCATCACATCTCCATTTGTTTGTCCTTTCCGCCACTCTGTCCAACTCTGTGCATTCATCGACCGTTAGCGGCTTCAAGAGCCAAACGAATAGGCTCCCATATCGACCAACCCCCCTCAGTTCCACCTGCAACACAGATCAGCTTTACGATCTGTCCTGTTAAAATAACGAAGCATTTTAGGTGGATTTATAAACTAAATCAGAATCAGATTGCAACATCACTGGGGGCAACAACTGAGGACAGATCTTACTTTTTTTTATTTGTGAAGTCAGCACCTGCCTGACAACCTCACCTCAAGCACCTTTTCCCCAGACTTATCTTTCATGAACTACCACATTTTATCTTC